ATTCGCGATTGAAATTCGACCAATCAGAATAAAGAAATTTTAGTCCTTTTTGTTCTGATTAGTCAAATTCCAATCTTTAATCTTCAATCTTCAATTTTCAATGCGTAGTCTGATACGGGCATTAGAACATATATAAATGGAAGGGGAATAGCAGGCTGAAAAGTGTCGAAGGAAGTGAGAAAGAAATCGTAGTTGCCTCTCTCTTGTGAGTAACTACACATACAAGCATCGTGTCTGTAGTATACATACTTTTGTGTACACACACATGGCCGCGCATGCGCACTTTTGAGCAAAGTAACTCACAAGAGAGAGGCAACTATGATTTTCTTTCTTACTTCCTTCCGACATGTTTTTTTATCGGGAAACAAAGGGATTCCCCTTCCATTTATATATGTCTAAGGTAAAGGCACCTTAACAGTTGATAATTGCAAATGGCGTCTATCCATAAGAAACTATTCCTTCCAGCGGATTTCCTCCCTATTAGGTGCCACGAATCAGGACCACTTTTGTCTTACGGAGTTCGATCTCCTTCTCTCTTACTTCATGGGCAGTGGCATTATAATTATAGAGAATTAGCAGACGATTTAATTTTTCTCTCCGCAATCTGCAGTTTTCGTCTAATTTTCTGACGAAATGTTCACAAATATAATAGTATGATATTTATGTTTCTATATATATATAAATCTTTCGTTCACTTTATGGTCTTATTTTTATATATCTTTCATTTGGATATTTATATTGACTTCATAAATGAAGGTTATATAAATAAAACAATCATATAAAAAAATACAAAAATTAAATTAAAAATTACACAAGCCTCAAGTAATAAATATAGATTAGTGGAAAAATGCCAATTGGAGTCTGGACGCGGTACTTAAAGCGTAATAATTGTATACTGTTTTAATAAACAATATTAATACACAATCATATATTTATAATCATATATTATATTCCATTATCTATAGTATTATATATTTTTAATATTTATGTAAATGTTTATACTTTTTCAATTTTGTTGCAGATTTATTAATATTTGTGCATACATATAATTTGCATTAAATTCTCAGTGTCAGAAAATGATGCGCATAGGTCTACTAGCTAGAAGCCCAATACTAATGAGTATATTTCCATTTGGTAATGATACTAATTTTGATAAACCTGTGAATAACGTGATAGAGCCATTGGAAGATAAATTGGGTTGGGACAGAGTAAAAAATATATTTCATTTAAAGTATGTATCTGTTTTATATTATCAAATTTTTACTTATTGTATTGTAGAGATCAAACTTGTCTTACAATTAATTGGTATTATAAATAATTTTATTTTACAGTAAAGATGGTATGTTCACAAAAGAATTAACATCTATCATAAATATAACAATATCAGGTGCCGTAATTGGCGCAGTCTTGGGTGGTACAAGTGCAACTAAGAATACTGTAGATAATTTTATCTCAAATAATGAAGCGACAAAGTTTACGAGCCATTTTGATGCAAAATGGCATCTTCAACAGGCAGTTACAGTAAATTTCATAAGAAGAGGTGCAAGAATGGGAGCAAAACTTGGACTTTTTTGTTGTATGTTTAGGTAAGAGTACAGCTCCTTCTATGACTTTTAAAATTTATTTACTAGAAGTCGAATATATTCTTTTTTTACAGTACTGTAACAACATGCACAACAGCATATCGAGGAAAATTGGCAATAGAAAATTATATGTTAGGTGGTTCTATAACAGGATTATTATTTAAAATGAATTTAGGACTTCGAGGAGCACTTGTTGGCATTGCACTTGGCAGTACATTAGGTGGCATATGTGGTGGTACATCGCTTCTTATTCTTAAATTATCAGGAGCAACTATAGATGAAGTACTAGAAGCACAACAAAAATGGATAAATTCAAGAGATGAGTAAGTACAAGAATATTACCTATTTTGTAACTTAAATATTAAATATAGTATTTTTTTTTTATACAGAAATTTTATAGTATGTATAATTTGATATTTTGTTCAATGTTATATATAGAAATTATAAAACATCTTATATATATTACCATCCATTTCATCTCTTAATAGTAATATTTCATATATTCAATAATTATAGGATTCTGCATAACAAGATAAAGGAATGCATGAGTACTGAATTACCAGAAATAAAGCAGCTATATGAAGAAAATAAAAAAGTATGCTTAATTCAAGGAAGAAGAACGGAGGAAGGAGAGAACATTGAAGATCATAAAACATAAACTTATTATGTAAATGAATCTTGTACATAGATGTGTCTTTATTATTCATCTATAAATCAATCTTGTATATATAAGTGTGTGTGTATATGTATCTTCATTATTCATCTGTGTAGATAATTAATCCAAATTTTACACAATGGCAAAATGATTAAAAAATATTCTTTACAAAACATGCAAATAATTTATCACACGCAATAAGTGCAAAGTTTGATGAATCTTTTATATTATGCATGTAAAAATTTAAATAGAATAAATAATTATATATATTTTTAAATATATTTACAGTATAGATAAAAAAAAATATTTTTCATGGAAAATAAATGAAAAAATGTTTTATGCATATTTCAACAATGATGGATATGCAGGAAAGTACATTAGAAAACACTACTCAGCTAATCTGCTTTTATTTTGATATTATAAATTTCATTATTTATTTAATTTTTTTTTTAATCAGATGCTAATTCTTGAACCTTGGTTATACGCTTAGCACCTCTGTTTGGTGGACCCTTGGGTTTAGCGAATTTTGGCTGATGCAAACTGATTTTTGGATGCAATTCCTCTTGAAAAAATTGCTCAGTAAGTTCCCCTCCGTCAGTTATTTCAAGCTATATAATCAACAAATTTTAATAACAAAAACAATAACTCTATATATGTAATAGGAAATTATATGTACACACAATATATGAACACATACACATTTTTGCAGATATGTCCCGACATTGTGTGTACATATGGAAATAGAAAAGTATTTTGTAAATTATTGACGTGGCTATATGGTCATATATGGCAGGCCTATTCTGTAAGCTCTGTAACAGACATACCTTTAAATCTTAAAAATAACCACCATTACCCATTTAAGGTATCGTCAAAAGACTTTTAGAGTTTTTAATTACATAATTGCAACATACGTACCTATAAATGGTCCTTAGCAATTACATACATCGTATGTGTACCTGGTATAAATATACATAATACTGAATATAATATAAAAAGAAACACCAAATTGTAAGTTTAAATTGCATGATGCTTTATTATTTCCAATATATTTGATATTGACAAGATATACAATTTCCTTGACTTTAATGAATCTATATAACCATAACTGAGAAGAGAAATCAGAGCTAAGATAAAATTAAAGAATTACAGAATAGGCCTGATATGATACTTAATTAAGATATACTAGACAACATTGTGCGTCATGATCTTGTAAAATAGAACACTAACTAGTTCTTTTTAGTATAGTATAAGAATTAACTTAATTATATCTAGCGAATGTGTGTGAGCCAAATATTCTCTTTTATTTTCTCTTCCGGCTTTAGATAAACTGTTATAGATAGAATCCTCCATAACTTTTATAATTCATATATAATAAAGATATTATAAATTTCTCTAAAATCTATTCTTTAAAACTCTCTATTTATAGAAAGAGAAACATTATTTTTGCCTATTTATATAATATAAGAAACATAACTGTGCACGGAAGAGGAAAAATTACAAGAATTTAACTCACAAATTATCTTCACAGCACAAGTAGATCTAACTATTTTTATTTCTTTCTATTTTAGACTAAAATATTTAAAGTTTATAAAAAGCTACAGTTATTAAAAAAATACAGATCACAAAAAATAGAATGCCTCTTGTATATTTTGTTGCTGGTTATCAAATTTTAGTCCTATCTGCTGTAAATTGCATACATATTTAAATGTTTAAGAAAATACTTTGGAGACATACGTATTAAAGAACAATAAATACATTAAAAATGTAAAGATCTTTTGTTATAATGTAACTTTTTAAGGATTCAATGAACGGATAATTTTAAATTGATCTTGCAAGATCTTACAGTTATGTAAATGCAAATGTTTAACATGCGTTAACAGCTGATAGGACTCTTCTCAAATCAGTCTTATTTCATACGCATATACTTGTGAAGAATCTAATATTTTATAGCATTTACAATAGTGTAAAACATGATATAAAATTTTATATGTAGAATAACTAGTGTGTTATCACTATTTTATAGCTGAAATAATAATGTGCAAAAAAAATATATATTTATGTTAATGTGGCGCTTGCGCGTATTTATCACTGTCCACTACATTATCATCATATTTGAAAATACATATGTAGAAAAGTTAGGCGAATGGCTTTAGCTCTATCTCTTTTTTTTTCCTTTATCTCTATATAGAGCGAATACGCAATTTTTCCCAACTCTCTATCCATCACATATTGTACGCAAATTACTACGGATCAATATTAAAAATATTGCATTACTAAATCCTACATGACTATTTGAATGAGCTTAAAAGCCAAGCCTTCAAATTCCACTTATAAAAAATACTTAAAATGACACATATCACTTTTAATAGGACTAGGAACTAATTCGGGATTCAATATAACGTAATTATAAACATATATAATAATATATATTTTTTTAAAGTGTGTGTATGTATGTGTATGTGGGTGTGTGTGTATGCATAATATATCTAATTGTAAGTGGATATACGTGATTATTTCGTGATCAATTAAAAATACGAAAAAATTGTCAATTATGTTATCACATTATGGATAAATAAATATATCATACCATTAAAAAAAAAAAAATAAATAAATAAAGTTAACTTTGAAATTTCCTCTACACACTTCTACCTTAAAAAAAAACTAATCACACCACTTATCGTTATCTTTCAAACAAAATAATTTTTGTAAAAGCAACTTTTTTTCGTATCTTTAATCCCTCAAAAAATAATCCCGCATGTTCACTTAAATCAGATTGTGTACGTGGGTGTGTGTGTGTATATATATAGTATATTAAATATAGGAATCGCACATTCATATAAAAGTATATATAAAATAAAAAATGAAGAGGAACTATATGTGAATAGAATGTTGTTAAATTCTCTATATATAATTAAATTATATTCGCGTTTGTCATATCACACATATTGCTTATATGTCAAATATAAAATCTGGAAAATGAGGCTTAGTTTTTAATATCAAACAAAATGATTTTACTCCATCTCAGCACTGTTTTTTATATAAATGAATAATTTCATATAGTCTTCTTTAAAATATAATACGTACTATATGGAGTTCTATTATATAGGCATCTCACATTAAGTTATTAGTAAATATAATGGAGTTTTGCAACAGAGAGCCTTTCACATGTCTGACATTTTTGCTTTTATTTAGAAAAATACATTATTTAAAGTCTATCTTGTTTCATTAAATAGATTTACATATTTACTTTGACACATAAATTAATTCTAAATGTTGGTTAACAACACTGAGATTAATATTTTTTTATATAGTGCGCGCTTTCTACTGCGCTTTCTACTGCTTCTAAATTAGTTTGCAATATATATTGCAATTGTAATTTGTTCTAATATTGGAAACATTAGAAACACATTATTTTATTTTAAATGATCCATTAATGATGTTACAATATTATATACTATAATTCTGGAATTCATGAAGGAAGATATTTGATGCGCAAAACATCACAAATACTTCAATTAGCAGAAGCAATAATAATGGCAGAGATAAATGCTTTAGGCCTGTTTTAGCTTAAAACACAAGATCGTTTCTGTTTTGATTTTTTCTCTGGTATGAATTGAGTAGGGGCACAAGGTGTTGATGGAGTTGCGGGAGTTATTGCAGCTGTGTATTTTATGCTTGGAGGATCTTCTAACATATCTGTTAACTCTTCCCCACTATTTACTTCCAACTGGGCATTTATATAATACAGAGATGGCAGTTATATATACATATGTATACATGTAAAAAATACTTAAAATATCACATAAAAAAATAATAAATAATAGTATGCAATATTGTTGCATGATTTAAAAAAGCAAGTGTTACATAGGCCAAGAATATATATTATAATAGTTGTTGAAGATTATTATAAGCATGGCAGTACAAGATTTCCAATTGAAGCATATGTAATTTTAAGAGAACAGATAATATGTGTCAGCTGTCAGAGTTGAGAAATAACAAACATGTACTCGTAATAGAAAAAGTAATTTTGTTACATTCTTCAGTAACAAGAGTAACGAAATTAAGTTACTTTTATCGTTACTTTTTCGTATTTACTCGGTATAAATTTCATGTAAAGAAATATATTGACCACAAAAGATATTGAAATGCGAAATTACATAAAAACTGTTTGAAATTTTTTTTTAGTTTCTCGACTCACAATCTATTTTTAAACATTTAAATAGACAGATAATTCGATGAGTGGTCAAGAGTTCGAGAATATAAAGTTTAACGTATCGTATTTAGTATATCAGATTTTTAAAAATTGTATAAGAGATTAAAGATATAAAAAAGACGATTTTGACCATATTAGGGTGTCTACTTAAATCTAATAAAAAAAAAAAATTTCCTGGAAGTCCTTGATTTTTCAGGTATTCTTGTCCAAAATTCCAGATAAAAAAATATATTTTAAAGATTTTTGGTCAACTCTTTTAAAATAAATTTGTTTTTATTGTATGCGTTTTCTAATGTTTTTCACTCATACAAAGGAAAAACACATAGCCATTTAAATTCGAAGTGCTAGATTCGCAAATGTACAGAAAAAAAAACTGAATAGCTTTCGTAAGATAATTTTTCCACTTGTATAATATTTTCGTTTTTTTATCACCAAAAATTAAAATAAAGAATATTTATTGCAAATTCAATATTTTGTTAAGACATTAAATATTTAAACAGAGAGAGATAGATATATATTTATAATATATTTTAAACATATAATTCATTTGCCGACTGTTTATAATATAAGAGCAAAATTAGAGAATCTTTTTAAAAATTCCTTGAGTCCCAATAAAATTCCATAAGAATTCCCTGAGTTTTTCAGGAATAAAAAAATCCCTAAGAATTCCAGGTTTTTCCAGGAAATAGATATTCTATCATATATACGCAAATGTATTGAAAGAAAACTAATAATAAAAAAACCCTCTTTTTCTCTTACAGCATTTAAAAATCTTAAAAAAACTTTTTCACAACATTTTAAAGTTTTTTTTTATTCAGAATTAATTATTATTAAAATTATCACACATTTTATATCAATAGCGATATTATTATCAAAATTATATCGCTCTTTGGTCATATTTTAATAAAATAATGTTTAAAAATATAAATTTTAAGTATGTTTAGCTTAATCTTTAAATTTATTATCATTAAAAGAAAGTAACGCGGAAATTGTAACGCGGCTCGTTACTGTTTGAGAGCAACGATAACGGTAACGAGTTTTTTCCCAACCCTGTTAGCTGTAAAGGTTTTCTATTTCAATTAAGAGAGAGAGAAAGAGAAGAAGAAGAAGGGGGGAGAGAGAGAGTGTGAGAGAGGGGGGAAGAGAGAAAGAATATTATGTACACACATACATATACATACACTTTCCCAGTTTAAATACAAAAATAGGATGGGGCACATACATGTGTGGATATGTATATATGTATGTGTATATATATTTATATATACATCAATCATGTATAACATTTCAGGTGACAATTTGACAGTTGATGCACATCATGCTTTAATATCAATATTCTTTAAGATTTTTATATAGTTATTACTCTCGCAATGAATTGATTATAAATAAGACATTTAAGAATCAATTTCAATATAATATTATATATAAAATTATATCAATATCGAAAATAGAATTGATACACTTCTCTAAATATTTCAACTAAACACTTCTTCTATTTAAAAACAATTATAATTTTTGATATATAAGAATTATCATCTTCAAATAATCTCAAGACTGTTAATTGGACATAAGAGGTCTGGGACATTTTTTCTCTCTCTTTCTCTCTCTCTCAGTGTGTATATGTGTTCCTGAATTAATAAAGCTTAAAAATTTGATTAATATTACAAAACTCACAAAAAAACATATATATGTTTTTTGACACACAGGCACATATATACACACATAGTTCCACATTATAAAACACATATATATGACTTTTAGCGACTTTTGTGATAATACAATTAAAGTTCTAAGCTTTTTATTATTTTAAAAGCATGTCCATTTAATTGCAATATTATCTCCAAACTTAAATAAATAATATCGATAAAGAAAGATATTTATATAAAATATGAAGATATAAAAATAGAATAATAAATTATCAAGAGATTGAATATATACTAACCTTTTTTGCTATAGTTACTCCCAGAGACTGGATAAGATCAAGAAGAGGTGCTTTGCACGATGAATACAACATTCTTTCTTTAATACTGCAACTATATCCTGGCATGCTATATATAAAAACTAAAAAAAAATGTAAAAATTATTTATATTATGTTGGAGTGTAAAACTATAGAGGATATCCTATTTTAATTGCTCCAGGCAAATATCTCAAAAACAAAGCATTTTTGAACAAAATGTTTCAAATAAAAGTTGTAAGATTTTAAGTGCATTAAGTAGCAATATTAGTGTGATTTTAAATAGCATTGTTAAGGTCACATAAAAATCACTTCCGAATTTTTAAATGGAAACCCCCTTTTCTGATTGCATATTCTTGTAGCTTACTTTAAGAGCTTTTCAAAACACTATAATAAAGTTGCTTTCCATTAAGTATTTTCCAAGTTATGAGGCTTGAAAGATACAGTACCGTCAGCATTAATATTACCCAAAAATGATTTTTACGTGACCTTAACAATGCTATTTAAAGTCACACTAACATTGCTATTTATTGCGCCACTTCAAACCCTTTGAACAACTTTTATTTGAAACATTTTTCTCAAAAATGCTTTATTTTTGAGATATTTCCTTGGGGAAATTAAAATGGGACACCCTGTATATTTATCATTTATCATTACCTACCTATGCTTTCTGTATAATCTCCTTCATGAGTATGTTTAAAATTATAAAGATGATATCTAGCAGCATCGGATGGAATTTTAGTAGGTAATTTGTCTAATGAAACATCACAAGCTGTTACTAGATGTATCTTTTCTTCATCCAATTCAATTTTTAATTGGACATATTCATAAATTCCTTTATCGAATTCTATAATAGCCTGCTTGGCTTCATCTGTTACTGGAAATGCTACGCCACTTAATGTCTGGTGTCTTGTTTCCACACTATAATCTGTAGTTGCGGTAGTCTTTTTCAATTCTGCCAATTCTTCCTCTGCTGTTGTCAATGGTACAGGTACTGTATCATTTCTCTTGTGCTTATGATAACCATCCAGTGTAATATCTTCTGGAACAGTGCCGTGCAGTTCTTCTTTTATTGAAGATGTACCAAACTCTTGCTTCAATGTAGCTTTAGTAGAGGCATAAAGCATTTTTTGTCTCACTGGTGCGGTATCGGGAGACCAAGATATGAATAACCAATCATAACCAGAATCTGGTGATTTGGTATCCAATCTATAAAGGATATAAGCTGGCTGATTCTCCACAATTAATGGCTTGATCATTTTATCGTAATCATCTTGCCATTTGTTTATTGGCTTAAAACTAGACACTGGAGTCAATTGTTCTGAAAAAAAAAACTAAATATAAAAAATATATTATATATATCTGTGTGTACTTTTCAATCTCCAAATCTCTTAAACTGCGAAATCCTAAACTATATAGTGGTGTAAAAATGTAAATTCCCCTCACAATTCAAGGAAAAAAACTTACCATTTTCTATCGAAATTTTGAGTACTCGTATTTTTCCATCACGACATTTCGCAAACAATTTTTTCAATGCATCGTTGGCTAAAAAACAAATCAATCTTATTACAACGTTGTTAATGATGATACTTAAGATTAAAAATCCTTTATACAGACGATTCATTGCAATCAATCTTTGCCATATAGATCATGTATAATAAGAAGTACCTAATTATAATCACCTTTAATTCCTGTTTGATGTGACATTTTGCAAAGAGCTGCTGCTGTTGCTATGTTGAAATATGTCGATTATATTTCTGAGAATTATTGTTTTTTCTATTAGCAAAAGATTTCTTTTGGGTGTGTTCCCTTTTTGCTGGCAGTGCGATCATCATGACGTCATAATAGTCCACAGTCCACTGCCGCAGCCATTGAGTATAATGGTGCGGTTTTGGGGTGCGTTCCGTTTCAGGGTGCCATTACATGGAGCGCGGAAACGCGGATTAGCGTAACGCGGAACGAGAATGGAACCAATCGGCAGCGTAACAGAAACTGCAGAATGCTCGCGATTGGTTTCACTCTCGTTCCGCGTTACGCTAATCCGCGTTTCCGCGCTCCATGTAATGGCACCTTCAGGCATTGAGCGCATAGATCGTAACATATATTATAGATTTCTATGCGCTCAATGCGTGAAACGGAACGCACCCTTGGTGCGGTCCATGGTACGGAATGTATGCGCAATGCGGAATAGCGGAACGCTCGTGATTGGTTCGATCTTTTTTACGTTCGTTCCGCCGATTTCTTTCCGCAAGTTTTTATTTTATCCGTAATGATTGTACGGAATTGACGGAATTATTAAATTATTAATTATTATTACTTGTGAACTTGCATGTATGCATGTTAATTAAAAAAAAAGAAGTCGACAAACGGCCGTGGTCGAGTGCGGACGTATTTGCAAAGCATATCTTTCAAAAATTCCATTTTGAATTGAAAATTTTTAAAACTCATCCTTTTTGGATACTATTAGTTTAAAACAGTGCTCGGAGATAGTTGCCCTTTTCGGGCCGATTCCGTGGCTCATCAATTCGTGAGCTGGTTGTTATTTCACACTAGATGCAATTTGCATGTGTGTTAAAAAATATATGCCAGAGGCGATCAATTCGTGAGCTGGTTGTTATTTCACACTAGATGCAATTTGCATGTGTGTTAAAAAATATATGCCAGAGGCGATCAATTCGTGAGCTGGTTGTTATTTCACACTAGATGCAATTTGCATGTGTGTTAAAAAATATATGCCAGAGGCGATCAATTCGTGAGCTGGTTGTTATTTCACACTAGATGCAATTTGCATGTGTGTTAAAAAATATATGCCAGAGGCGATCAATTCGTGAGCTGGTTGTTATTTCACACTAGATGCAATTTGCATGTGTGTTAAAAAATATATGCCAGAGGCGATCAATTCGTGAGCTGGTTGTTATTTCACACTAGATGCAATTTGCATGTGTGTTAAAAAATATATGCCAGAGGCGATCAATTCGTGAGCTGGTTGTTATTTCACACTAGATGCAATTTGCATGTGTGTTAAAAAATATATGCCAGAGGCGATCAATTCGTGAGCTGGTTGTTATTTCACACTAGATGCAATTTGCATGTGTGTTAAAAAATATATGCCAGAGGCGATCAATTCGTGAGCTGGTTGTTATTTCACACTAGATGCAATTTGCATGTGTGTTAAAAAATATATGCCAGAGGCGATCAATTCGTGAGCTGGTTGTTATTTCACACTAGATGCAATTTGCATGTGTGTTAAAAAATATATGCCAGAGGCGATCAATTCGTGAGCTGGTTGTTATTTCACACTAGATGCAATTTGCATGTGTGTTAAAAAATATATGCCAGAGGCGATCAATTCGTGAGCTGGTTGTTATTTCACACTAGATGCAATTTGCATGTGTGTTAAAAAATATATGCCAGAGGCGATCAATTCGTGAGCTGGTTGTTATTTCACACTAGATGCAATTTGCATGTGTGTTAAAAAATATATGCCAGAGGCGATCAATTCGTGAGCTGGTTGTTATTTCACACTAGATGCAATTTGCATGTGTGTTAAAAAATATATGCCAGAGGCGATCAATTCGTGAGCTGGTTGTTATTTCACACTAGATGCAATTTGCATGTGTGTTAAAAAATATATGCCAGAGGCGATCAATTCGTGAGCTGGTTGTTATTTCACACTAGATGCAATTTGCATGTGTGTTAAAAAATATATGCCAGAGGCGATCAATTCGTGAGCTGGTTGTTATTTCACACTAGATGCAATTTGCATGTGTGTTAAAAAATATATGCCAGAGGCGATCAATTCGTGAGCTGGTTGTTATTTCACACTAGATGCAATTTGCATGTGTGTTAAAAAATATATGCCAGAGGCGATCAATTCGTGAGCTGGTTGTTATTTCACACTAGATGCAATTTGCATGTGTGTTAAAAAATATATGCCAGAGGCGATCAATTCGTGAGCTGGTTGTTATTTCACACTAGATGCAATTTGCATGTGTGTTAAAAAATATATGCCAGAGGCGATCAATTCGTGAGCTGGTTGTTATTTCACACTAGATGCAATTTGCATGTGTGTTAAAAAATATATGCCAGAGGCGATCAATTCGTGAGCTGGTTGTTATTTCACACTAGATGCGATTTGCATGTGTGTTAAAAAATATATGCCAGAGGCGATCAATTCGTGAGCTGGTTGTTATTTCACACTAGATGCGATTTGCATGTGTGTTAAAAAATATATGCCAGAGGCGATCAATTCGTGAGCTGGTTGTTATTTCACACTAGATGCGATTTGCATGTGTGTTAAAAAATATATGCCAGAGGCGATCAATTCGTGAGCTGGTTGTTATTTCACACTAGATGCGATTTGCATGTGTGTTAAAAAATATATGCCAGAGGCGATCAATTCGTGAGCTGGTTGTTATTTCACACTAGATGCGATTTGCATGTGTGTTAAAAAATATATGCCAGAGGCGATCAATTCGTGAGCTGGTTGTTATTTCACACTAGATGCGATTTGCATGTGTGTTAAAAAATATATGCCAGAGGCGATCAATTCGTGAGCTGGTTGTTATTTCACACTAGATGCGATTTGCATGTGTGTTAAAAAATATATGCCAGAGGCGATCAATTCGTGAGCTGGTTGTTATTTCACACTAGATGCGATTTGCATGTGTGTTAAAAAATATATGCCAGAGGCGATCAATTCGTGAGCTGGTTGTTATTTCACACTAGATGCAATTTGCATGTGTGTTAAAAAATATATGCCAGAGGCGATCAATTCGTGAGCTGGTTGTTATTTCACACTAGATGCAATTTGCATGTGTGTTAAAAAATATATGCCAGAGGCGATCAATTCGTGAGCTGGTTGTTATTTCACACTAGATGCGATTTGCATGTGTGTTAAAAAATATATGCCAGAGGCGATCAATTCGTGAGCTGGTTGTTATTTCACACTAGATGCGATTTGCATGTGTGTTAAAAAATATATGCCAGAGGCGATCAATTCGTGAGCTGGTTGTTATTTCACACTAGATGCGATTTGCATGTGTGTTAAAAAATATATGCCAGAGGCGATCAATTCGTGAGCTGGTTGTTATTTCACACTAGATGCGATTTGCATGTGTGTTAAAAAATATATGCCAGAGGCGATCAATTCGTGAGCTGGTTGTTATTTCACACTAGATGCGATTTGCATGTGTGTTAAAAAATATATGCCAGAGGCGATCAATTCGTGAGCTGGTTGTTATTTCACACTAGATGCGATTTGCATGTGTGTTAAAAAATATATGCCAGAGGCGATCAATTCGTGAGCTGGTTGTTATTTCACACTAGATGCGATTTGCATGTGTGTTAAAAAATATATGCCAGAGGCGATCAATTCGTGAGCTGGTTGTTATTTCACACTAGATGCGATTTGCATGTGTGTTAAAAAATATATGCCAGAGGCGATCAATTCGTGAGCTGGTTGTTATTTCACACTAGATGCGATTTGCATGTGTGTTAAAAAATATATGCCAGAGGCGATCAATTCGTGAGCTGGTTGTTATTTCACACTAGATGCAATTTGCATGTGTGTTAAAAAATATATGCCAGAGGCGATCAATTCGTGAGCTGGTTGTTATTTCACACTAGATGCGATTTGCGTGTGTGTTAAAAAATATATGCCAGAGGCGATCAATTTGTGAGCTGGTTGTTATTTCACACTAGATGAAAATTGCATGTGTGTTAAATAATATATGCCAGAGGCGATATATTATTCTGTTGCGATGGAGACAAACAATGTATTATAAATGTTTATTACAAATATATAAACATTTATGTATACGAACAAAAAAAGACAATATAATATATATTTGTATAAATAATACATTGTTGTTATATATCCATTGATTATATCGATTGAAAAAAATTAGCTGCGTTGCATAGATCGCAACTTATAGAAAGTTACATGATAATATTCAGAATATATGTATATATCATATATCATACACATACATCTGTATACGTCTATGTACATATTATACATATACATATATATATACACAATTATACCTAACCAAACTAACCAAATGTTATTCCTCTTGGAAGATATATGGGAAGACACATAGCCCGTATGAACAATGTGAAATTATGTTCAAATAGGCAGACACGCTTATTCGTAAAAATGTTTGCCAGAAATATTTAATAAGCATATATCCATTATTAATTAGAAATTAAAATTTAAATAGTTATATTTAAATTTTTTTTATATACGTATAGTTAATATTATTATTAACTATTCGATATTTTACATTTTGTATTATGTGCGTAATACGCATACGTTTATCTTCTTGGTGCCTATATTATAATTATGGTTCTTTATCGGGTGAGTTTACTCACGAGGTGAAAATTAAAAAGTGAGCGCGGTTCACTAATAGATTATCTACGATTTTATTCGTCAAAATCTAGTGAACTACTCTCACTTTCGTAATTTTCATCTTGCGAG